CTCTCTCTCTCTCTCTCTCTCTCTCTCTCTCTCTCTCTCTCTCTCTCTCTCTCTCTCTCTCTCTCTCTCTCTCTCTCTGCCCTGAACAATAGCCTAATAGAGGAATTATTGGTTGCCAACCGCCGGCAGCAGCACAATGACTGGGTCAGGCTGTACCCTGCGCAGTTCATCGAAATTAAGAAACAAAGCATAGAATTACGGGGCAACACCAGCTCTGGTTCATTCTTAAATTTGAAACTGAAAGTGGAATCAAGGGAAGGAACGTACAGCACAATCAAATACGACAAAATAGAGGAGCTTGGGATCAAAGTGAACCAATATATATATCTAGTACAACTCCAACAGCCCAGTCAAACAGTCGCCAGCAATCATTGTCCGGCAGGTAATCACTACTCTGATCATCTTCTCCGAATCCAAGGAAGCAGCTAAGGACATCGCCAAGATTGTAGAAAGGATGATGGACAACGGATTTAACCAAAGGAGGTGTTGGGGAATTGTCAAAAGGATCCTATTAAAAGAACCCAGCCTTGCCAACCTACCAGATGCGCTGCAGCAGCAGTATATGATGAATTGAGATTGATGCGTCTTCTGACCTAAAAAAAAAAAAAAAAAAAAAAAAAAAAAAAAAAAGTGGCCTTTTGACATGTGTGCGGTGTTGTGTCTGTGTGGATGGAGTGTGTGATGCAACCCAGCGCATGTGCGCTGAGGATGGCATCCGGAGAGGTACCTGTCTGGGACAGGTACCCCTGTGGATACCTGTCCCAAACAATACCTCTTCGGGGGAATGTGGGCGGGACACACACACACAGACACACACAGACACACACTGACACACATAAACAGGTTGGAGTCTTTCTATCATGAGAGAAGAAGGCGAGCGGAGCGGAGGCGATGACCTCAAAAAAGGTTTGGCCTTTGGAAAAACAGTAACCCCCGGTCCGGCATCTCATACTCCCCAAGTGGCCCTCAGACCTACCCAGATTGCCATAATAAATGATACCGTGACTGGGTGACCCACCTGCCTACCCCGAGGAGGACGGTTCCGACGGATAGCCTCGCGGGTCAATGAACCCACTAACCCACCAAGCCTGCTGAAAAAATCGCACAGCAAACGTTCTGCTTCTGAATCCCTGGGGAGCTGCACACGGACCCACCCCATGCGCCTTTCCCCTTCTGGTATTCTGGGAACCCCGCCTCCCGACCAATGAACTTGGCTCCATGGTAGAACCCCGAACCTGTCGAAGGAACACATGGATTCTGACGAGTGGGAGATCACCCTGAAGTAGGACCGGGATAGTGGAAAGTTTTCTCACCCCGCCCATTCCCGGATACCAATGATCGCCACTGATTGTGCTAAGTATCTATTGGGCCTATAGCCCTGCTACAGTATGCGAGTGAGTTTGTTGCCTATGCGGTCAACCTGTGAGCAATTGGTGGGACGTTGCGATTCGGCAGAGTACTGGAAACCATGGCGGACTGGGACTTTTTGACTGTAGTGGACGAGGAAACTCCGCTCATGCCCGAAGCTGACGAAGCGATTGCGGCGGATGAAGCGGTATACGACCTTCGTTTTTCCCTCCATGCTTGCACGTGGGATATGGCTGTCTGTGTGCTTCCGATGTGTGGCTGTGTTTTGCTCGTTGTTTTTCCAGGACTTTGAACTCCTCTGACGAGCCGGTTGGTCGCAACGGCGAAAAAGCTTTTAGGGGATGCCACACCCCTCCTGCCTGAAAAGTTTACTCCATGGGAACCACCGAGCTGGCCCCCCTCTCCATGCTCCAGCCGCTATAGCAGTCCCCCTCGATGCGCTACGTCCTTCCTTTTGCTTTGTCGGGACTTAAGGGGTCGGGTGAGCTGCATCCTGTCACGGATTGGATGGGTTTTCTGAAGGGCGAGGAGGACGGGGAAGGAGGGACGCAGGTGAACTTAATTGTAGCGGTGTAAGTTGATGAGCCTATGTGGTGACAAGTATGAGACATATGTGTGGGGGTCCATCCATAGCATGGGAGGACGGCGCAAAGCGACGGAAGGAGGTCTGAAGTAAGTGGAAGGGCAGGGGGGCTGACATATGTAGAGAGTACATTGGCTTTTGACGGCGTACTCGGGGAGATGGTGTAATTAAGTTGCGACGTTTTCAGGGAGTCTGTTGTGGGGATACGGGGAACGAGGAAGGCGCACACGAGGTGTAGTTGGACGGAATGAGGTCTCTCGGCTTGGATTGTATTATTGGATGGCCACGCATTTTTTATTTTTTTTTTAATTATTATTTATTTATTTTATTTATTTGTTTTTTTCAAGAAAGGCCCATATGCAAGACCTCTATCCTGGTGGTGGTAAGAGAACCACCGGGATTGAGGCTTTGCCAAGGCCACGCATTATGGGTGCTCTCTTCGAAGTCTGACTAAAGTATTTCTCTCTATTGTTGCAAGTTGTTATATGATCCTACTGTTTTACAAAGCTCCCCGTATATTTCGAAGTTGCATCTTGCTCATCATTTTGGTTTCCCCTCACTAGAGTGTCGTTGCTCTGTGGTTCTCCCCTATAAAATGACCATCGTCTCGCTGGCATGCACCACCTGGCACAGGCTGGCAGAGGCATGTACTTCATCCAACAACGAAGCGCCTCTATCAGGAGATGCATTCCATGAGACTGGTTATGGAAGGTTGGGATGTTTGAATATGAGTGGGGCTTTGGGGAACAAGCCATGATAAGTCACGAATGGTTCGGAGAAGCTTCATGGAAAGAAGGATGGCACAATGCGGTGTCTATTTGGTTATGAACGGGTGGGGTGTACCATGAGATGAATGGGGTGCTTCGCGATAAGCGCCATGAAATGGATTGGAACACACACACACACACACACACACACACACACACACACACACACACACACACACAAATTTGGCCGTGGCCCAGTGATTGCATAGCAGACGCTGTCAGCAAGATAGTTGCACATTTTGATGAAGCACACACTCACAGAGAGAGAGAGAGAAGGGGGGTGGGGTGGGTACCTCATAAGGGTTGATGCCCTTGGCCAGGAGCTCTCGTGACTTCACCGCCCAAGCCTTTGCTTGCGCGTTTGCACGCAGCACATACTTTGTTGCCTTTGCCTTGATGTCTTCAATGGCACGGTCGATGCTTTCCTTCAGCGCCAGAAGCACTCTTACCTCTTCTTCCCACACGAATCTCTTCCTTCCTTGAAGTTGTCTCTCCTCCTTTCTGCATTTCAGATTTGAAGCTCGGTCTCAGTCAAAGTCCCAACATGCCCATACACTCACAATGTCAAACACACGTCATACCCATGGTACACACACACACACACACACACACACACAGAGAGAGAGAGAGAGAGAGAGAGAGAGAGAGAGAGAGAGAGAGAGAGCTGACAGAGTAGAAGTGCAGTGCCTACTCAGCACGTCGTGGAAACAGGACAGCACACAGGATCACACAGGTCGAACATATGAATCACTCAACTCTAGGGATTATTTAGGGGGGGAGGGGCGRGSGGGGGKGGGGGKGGGGGGGGAATCTCGGATTTCTCTGAACGAGTGCTGTGGGAGGGCTATGAGTTGTACTCTCTCTCTCTCTCTCTCTCTCTCTCTCTCTCTCTCTCTCTCTCTCTCTCTCTCTCTCTCTCTCTTCTTACAGCATCGGCGTGGCACACAGCCTACCAAACATCCTATCTAAGGGTGTGCAGAGTGGGATTGCAGAGCTGGTTCTGTCTGTTTCTGTGCACAGTCAGGTGATGGGAAAGATCCTCCTGCCTCCCTCACCTCCCATTCTTCCACAATAGAGCATGACTCTCGAGTTATTGGTTGCCTCAAGGGAAGTAATGATGTATTTGGGACGCTGGACCCGTTTTCCAGCAGGTGTTGCTCCCCACCAATAGATGGAGCCTCCCCTCAGGTGCTCGTGGTGTCTGTTCTAACCCTGTCTCTTATACACATCTAGATGTGTATAAGAGACAGCCCCAGGGGAGTAAGGAAGGCTGAGGTGTCATTCTCCTGTTGGGGCCGAAACGAACTGCCCGTTTTCAGTGCAGTTCTGCCCAGCGGAGGCAGCAGGGGGGTGAGGGGAAGGTAGGGGGGGGGGGAAGAGGTGGGGAGGAGAGGGGAAACTGAATCAACCCTAGTCAACATGATCATCAACGTCATCATCTGCTTTTTCACTGGTCTTTTCACTATAATTATCCTTTTCCAAATTTTCTCCTCTAGTCGCTATTCATTGAATACAGACGAGATGGCAAGCGGGTAGTATGGGGGGAACTGATCTCTATAGGAGCATCACAAGGCGGGAGGTGATTGCTCTGTAAGGAGTAACTGTAGAACGTGGGATGCACTTAAAAAAAAAAAAAAAAAAAAAAAAAAAAAAAAAAAAAAGAGAGAGAGAGAACGTGGGATGTACTAACCTGGAGCTGGATAACATACTTTTGGAAGTTTTGGGTATTTAAAAAAAATAAAAAAATAAAAAAATGGAGCAGATTAGAATAGCGGAAAGATCGGAGCATACTTTTGGGGGAATGGGATGCCTCGAGGTAAGCAGGGTTGTAACTTAAAGTGCATCTGGCCCTAGTTGGAGCTGAAGAGGACTGCTCCTCGTCAGGCCCGGCGGTTCATCCATTCGGCAGTGGCAACAAGGGGCGGAAAAGAACAGGTCGAAGGAGAGGAGGAAGTAATCTCTATCAACCAATCTTCATCATCAGAAGGTTTTATCCGTTCAGGATTTTGCTCAAATCAGATCCTGGAATGCTACCGTCTTCACCCGAATAGAACGCCCGGTCATTATCGCTGCATCTGGACTGCAACTTGGGCGAAATGCAGCTATAATGACCGGGCGTTCTACGGTAGGTGTCATTATTGACTTAGCAGTTTCTTGAATGTGCTGTGTTTTTGTAATTGCCCAGGTTGAGTTGATGCGAGAACGCCGCTGGCCAGCGCTGGGGCTTGCCCTGTAACCTGCATGAGTAGGAGCTTGAGACCTTGTAGAGAGATCTGAGGATTGCTGAGGGAGGGAGGAAGGCAATTCAGTACCTTGACTGATGGCTACAATTAGGACCGACAAGGATCGGAGCTGGGGCGGGTAGCACTGCCCTGTAACTCAGCTAGATTGAGGGCGTGAGACCGGGTAGAGGCTTGATTGGTACATGGCACAGCTCTGTTTAAGGGATGCTGAATTGATACGATCACCTGAATTTAGGGATAGGATAGAAATTGAATCCTGAGTAGAATGACCTTCTGTAACGTTCTGTTTAATCTTCCTAGTTTATAATCCAGTAGTTCATAGCCTTTTGAATCATCCTGAATCTTCCTGAATCATCCGGAATCATCTTCCGGAATCACCCTCAAATCATCCTGAACCATTATCAAGCATTGTATTCCTACTACAAGGGACGCTCGCCCGGTTCCCAACACGTGCTGCTCCCCGCAAATAGATCGGAGATTTGTTTAAGAAAAAAAAAAAAAAACACGTTCCAGTGAAAGTCAGTTTCCTAATTGTGGGTGGAGGGCGAAAAATGGAGTGGAGAGGGGTGGCTTCATTTCTCCAGTGAAGATTCTTATTAGTAATTCCAAAAAAAATGAATTTGAATTTGGCATTTTGAATCCACTTCAAAATGAGGCCCACTGGGATGTCGGTCCCACTATCCAGCAGAGGGTCAATTTTGTCTCTCTTAGACCACCACTACCTGCAGCACGACTGGCACCGAAAAGGATCCACGAAGTATCACCCCCCGAGGGGAGGCTGCCTGTATCACCCCCCCCCAGGAACTTGCTCTCGGTTTCCTATTAAAAATAAAATTAAAAAAAGGACACATTTGGATATCCCTTTTACATATTTGTTTGGCCAACCGGCGTTGTACCGTTAGATGAACTGCTGCTCGCGGGTGTACCTCAAGATGTTCATGTTGGTCTGCAAGCGAGCTTTCGCCTTGTTGCTGCAATCCTGCCAAACACATGGTGGAGGGGTCAAGGCAGAGAGAGAGAGAGAGAGAGAGAGAGAGAGAGAGAGAGAGAGAGAGAGAGAGAGAGAGA